CATTCACAGGACTTTGCAGTTGTGCTTGGAGGCAGACACTAACATACAACTCAACACTCTCGGGAAGGGACTTGCCTGGCGGAAGGAATCGCTGCATCCTCGCTACTCCTGCTGCGCTGCGTCTGAAAGGGTGTAGCACTGGGCCTTCCAGCTCCAAGCAGTTGCAGACCCTGCAGTTTAAGGTGGCGGTTGTAACTCTGATCTGTTTAATCAAGGACAGGAAGTTTACCTGGCGATACACATCTTCAGAAACTCTGAGTCTTTTCAGAGATTGCTGTCCAGTTGGCTTTCAAGATTCTGGATGAAATCATTGTTTCCACCTGTCTCATTTAGGTCAGTGCAGTAAGCAAAAGGTACGTGTGGGCAGCATGCTGGACAGAATGTCATATTCCACAAAAATTAGACATCTTTTTTCCCTGTTTTGTTTTCCCTGGACACTCCTTCACCCACAGTGATCCATAGGTGCAAGTGGGTGACTGCAACAGTGCACTAGGAAAAGGTAGCACTGTGGGAAGGAATGCAAGTTAAAAAAATGTTTAAAAATGTAAAAAATCAGTTTACTCCAACCAGACCAAGATAAATAATTCTTCTGACCAAATAATTCCAAAAGTCTGCAGAGAATAGTATGGAAATCAAGAATGGCCAAAGGCTATCTGGATGCAAAACTAGACAGTCCTTAGGGAGGGGAAAAACCAGTGGGCAGTCAAGCTTACTGCTGAGAGACCGTGCCCTGCTTCCAAATGTTACAGGAGGGAAAGCTGCATCAGAAACAAATCCAGAAACTGAAGGACAAGAAGCAGATGGAGAACAGTACTCACCAACTACTTCAGTAATCAGCCAGTGAGGCCATGCTAAGTACCTGTCTCTAGATGAGAGAAAAACCTTCCAGGCAATAACAAGCTGGACAAGTCAGTTGGGAGAAGGAACTAAATCCACACTTTGTACAAGCTCTTTTTTTTCCTTTGGCCTTACCTATTCTACTACCACAGCCCTGCTGAAGAAGTGTTTGATAAAAATGAACCACCTGTGCAAGAGTTTCCCAAGAACCGATCCCAGCCATGACACCCATAAGTGTAGGGCACCACTGTAGCTCTCAGCCCGACTCTCCCGACCAGCTACCCTGCATCCCCACAGCACAGCAGGGTTTTATGCCGTTGTTCCACGAAAAAGCCATTCAGACCATCTGCAAAGGTCCCTAGGATTCTATCACTGTTCAGATAAAATCACCACTCTTAAAGTGGCCACGAGATTTGGCTCCCTGCTGAATGGTGTTGGCAGTGAAAAGATACGTGATGACACCGTGAGGTGTATCTGTGACATCACTAAGACTATTGCATTACATCCTTCCTGCAGCTGGCATCAACACATTTCACAAGTTTTGTATTTGTCAGCTATTTTAGAAATTACCCTAAAACATTCTCAAATGATCACAACGCTCCTTCAGAGGTTGTTCCAAGAACTGCTCCTCGCAGTAGCTGGTGTCTCACCATAAACACCCTTGAGGAATCACTGCTGAGCACCAGGCCGAGGAGTGTCCTACAAATACGGGACAGATTGCACCAGTACGTGGGTCCTTTCCATGGAATTCTGGGTATTTGGCCCAAAGCTTTTTCACTCTCACACAGCTCTCTTAAGACTGCCTCCTGCTCCTACTCTTCATTCTTTAGCATAATGACTTCAGGTGTCTACGTCACCATCTTTGGGACACTGCAGCAATAGAGGAATGGCTAGGAGAAAACAGCTTTTTGAACAAAGAACCTGGATTTTATGCTGAGTTTGGAAAAGGAAAAACATGGAAAAAAAATCAGAAACAATTAAAAAAACACCAAAGTTAATTTGTTTCCAGAGGTTTGTTTTCTTTTTTTTAACAGATTTACATGAATACTTAAGTGAGGTAGAAGACTTCATTTCAGAACATCACATTCCATTTTATTTAAAGAGCAGCTTTATCTGAAGTATTAAATATGCAAGTGACAACACACATCCAGGATCACTTGCATATTCACAACCATGACGCTTGGAAGAGACAAAAATCACAAACGCTTGAAAGAGACAAAATTCATAAAATAGCATTTTGATAATGGGCTTTAAAAAGATACAGTGCCAGAAAAAGTAGGGGAAGGGAAGACATTTTGGAAGATCTGACGTTGTAGAAGAGGCTGTATTTAGGAAGCAGCTTGGAAATAACAAGAGGTGGATTGGGAAGTAGGAAACAAAAGAAGAACCACCAAGTAAGCCACTAAATCTAAATAGGAAGAGAGTATTTTAACCAATTCCACAGGTGAGACAACAATGAGAATAGAGGAGAAACAGCTTAATAATGAGGTAGAGCAAAAAAAGTAGACAAACTGTATAGTTTTAACCAGGTTTGTTGACTGAGGTGATGATTTTGGAAGAACGGGTCAGTGATGATATAAAAATCAAGGCACAAACGCAAGTCTAAGCACCAGCATTTTTCGTAAAATGTAAAAACAGAAACTTGTAGATGTGATGAAAGGAAACACTGACACTTCTAGTAGCAAGGGAGAGCTTGGTGAAGTGTCAACTGCCAAGGAAAGAGGACAGCACAGCCACAAGAACACCATACAATATGGTAGTTGTACCTTACTTAATGCACAAGGCAGTATAAACTAGGCAGACAAAGAGAATTAAGAATATGAGGTAAAGAAAAACAAGAATTCAGTCAGATGTCATAGTACATAGGCCTGAGTGGAGATTTGACACCCTTTGGTCAAGTATGGAGGAAAGAGAAGAGGTCAAAACCAGCTGCCTTTGGCATGATTGGAAAAGGAAGAGATAAGTCATCCCAAGCAACTGAACAGTCAGAAAGCAGAGGGGAAAAAACAACCCACAGCCAAAAGCCTAATGAAGAATAGTCACTTGCACTAAAAGCTGCTGAGAAGTCAGGAGCAGAAATAAGCCCCTTGTTTCTTCACACGTTTCTAAGAATCTGTGTGGGTTCTGGCTAGTTGGCAACCACACAGAAAGCCAGACAGGAAAGGTTCAGAAAGCCAGGACAACTAGGGGTGAATACAAGAACAATCTTCCTAAACCAGAGTTTAGAACATCCCGAGGGGACAAAGTACTGACAGCAGAAGGGGGGAAAAAGAATAAAAGGAAAAAAAAGGAAGAGCTGCAGGCCACATGAACACAAACAAGAACAGCACAAAAGGAGAGGAAACAATAACCTCCAAGAGAAGTGTCTTTTCAGTGCCTGGTCTCAGTTCATAGTCGGAAGGGATTACAGCGATAAAGCTATGTAGAATAAGAAACTGTAGATGCTACTTCGCCTTTTTTTCCCCTTGTCTTTTGTTTTGACTCTTGATGAAACTGTACTTTTGATTCAGAGTACTCAACAGTACTTTTTATCTGGAGGCACTTCTGTCCCAGGCTGAGCTTGGGTTCGCAGCTCAGTGGCTGAGCTGATCAGCCATCCAAGCCCCATGTCTGAAACACTGACATAAAAGTTTCAGGCCCCCCCAGAGGCATACAGCTGCTGTGTGTGCCCAGGAACCCCTGCTAAATGACTTCTGTAAGTCACCCAAACACCAGACATACCCCTGACGACAAGCCAGCACTACGCTGCATTTGCAGCGACAGAAATGCATGTCACTGAGAATACACCCCACTCCGCTGGAGGATGTATGACCTCTATATGCAACACAAGACCTGCTGTAAAGCAATTTCCCAGTTCATCTGAAACACACGGAGCTGCTGCAAAGCATGATGTAGTTGAGACGAATACGGGAACAGCAGTGTGAAATCTAGCGTCCTCTGACAACTTGGGGAATGGGCTAGAGAATGTAACAGCTTCATTTACCCTCAAACTTCTGCATGCAGCTCTCCTGAAATGCAGTTTACACCTCCAGAAGCCTGGGCTGACCTACAGCAGCTTATCAACCTTACCAACATAAAGCAACTGAGGAGCTGAGTTTGACACTTATACTTCAAAACATTTTTAGGCACATCTCCAAAGCTCAGTTCAACTGGAATTACGTGACGATGCATCATTCATAAGGATAGGAAAGACCCATGAAGACTTCCACTCCATTGGAACTATTGGAGACACAGCACCCCCAGTTTCACTAGAGGGAAGTTGAGAGGCGCTTGGATACAGGACAATTGTGCTCAGCACAAACACTTCAATCTGAGCAGAAAAACGACACCTTTGCAAACTTCACTGTAACACTAAGTAGCGAATGGGTGAAATACAACAGTACGATTTTCCATCTGCATCCACAACATTCATAGATAAACTCCGAATATGGAGGTCCCCGGATCAGCTACGTCAGTTGCTTGCTGGGGACACACGGCTCCAGCGCAGCATTACGAACGGAAGCCTAAGCTTTGACATGGAAAGCAGATTTAAGACCTGCCACCATTCACAGAAAAAGAGCAGTTTTCAATTAAGAGGTTTTCCATCACACAGGGCATTACAGAGCTAACTATGAAGAGGCTAATAGCCATCCGTAGTATGTCACTCCACCGTTTTACAGACTATTTCAACATGACTGTCAGAAGTATGTCTGGAAAAGAAGACTTTCATGTAACAACAGCAGATAAACTGTTGTTTTCATTAGCAATCTTCTCTTGAGACTACTCAGAACATGTGAAATAGCATTTGTGATTCATTTCAGGTGGAGATCTAATCTTAAGCTCCTTAAATGTGTGCCATGATTAGCCCCTATAGCTGAGTAAACTAAAATTCTCTTCCAACTCTCTCCACTCAGCTTCTTTTTAAGGAGCAGTGGAACCTGGGCTTCCCTCCCTCATCTCACAGAAACAACTGTGGTGCTGACCTTGTCCTGAGACCTCCAACAGAGATCTAAGGAGGCTGGTTTGGCATCAAGCTCAGGATTAGAATTACTTCCCCTACCCTGTTATGGCAGTGGGAAACCCGTCACAGAACCATCACACTTAATGAGAGCGCTAAATAGCAATGAGAGCTGCAGCGGCAATCCATGCTGTCAGATAAATGCACTGACGAAGGCTCAGCCAAGTCAGTGTGCTAAATGGACAAGCAAGACATTCTCTCCTCGAATGAAAATCTGGTTTATATGACGTGTGAACACCTGCTGATAATCCACTTTGGGACGCCTTTTTCTCCGTGACTTGCTTCTTGCCCGGGTACCACCAGCACTGGCACCCTCTGTGTGGGCAGTCCCGCTACCCACATCGGCTTCACCTCTGGCAGCCAGATGCAAACCGTCACCTGGCATCTTCTTTTCTCCAGCTCTGCCCAAGCGTTTCTGCCTCTCGCGCTCATCTTCTGCTCTCCCTCGTCCAGATCCAACTTTCAGTCCCAGCGTCTGAGAGTCATTTGTCAGGGCTAGCTCCTCCGAGACAGTCTTTGAGTCAGCTCCCTTCTTTACTGAGGACTCCTGCAGTTTGAGCCTGTCAAACAGCTGTAAGAGAACATTTGTGTAATGACCACATTCACAACACAAGAGAGGCCGCTTGTGCAGCACTTCTGCATGGTATGTGTGTACACAATCCCAAATCAGAGCTCACAATACACAAGTGGTGAAGAATCTTTACCAGCAGTAACTATGTTTTCTCACCAGTTAGTGATGTAAGGTGAATGGATCTCTTGCACATGCATGAGTGTCTGTATGTGAGCTCCGAGGAATTTAATTTGGGAAGCAGTACTGATGTCTGGTGGCATTTAACTCTGGTCAGGAGCAACAGACAGCTGCCAAGTTGCTCCATTAGCTCACCTTCCCCATTCTCTTGAAATGTTGTCAATAGTATTAGGGAGATTTCCATCCTTGTGCCCTCAGGCAGGACATGAATCCCTAAGATAAGGGGCCTCAATCAGCAAAGAGCATCTACTGAAAAAATTATGGACCTTTTGTGTTCCCCAAAACAAACTAAAAGATGCCATGTGGGTACTCTGGGAGGTGAGCAGACCACAAACAATAGAAAAATAACAAAATCTGGAGCAGCAGATCCAAAGCACTGTATGAACTCATTAATCTAAGAATACACGGTGCTGAAACTGGAAAAGAAACTGCTTTTACTCTGGCAGCAGGCAAGCTTTTATGACATAGTGACAAATGAAAAGGATTCTCAGTTAAACTGTCTCTTCCCAGCAACAGGATGGAAAGCCAATTCCTGTGACAGGGGGCTGAAGGAACAATGGCAACTTGATTATTTTTAACTAATCTTTAAAAAAAGAAGGGTGTGATCTATCAGAAAACAGATTTAAATGGCAGGAATCTGAAAGCCAATTCCGCACAATGAAACTGTTTAAAAGTTTCTGTGATGCTTCTCTGATGTTCAAGAGGCCCAGAGCTATGCCATTCTACAGGCACAGCCCTGTCACTCTGGTTTTTCCTTCATTGTTCAGAAGTTCATCTATCATCTCTTCAGTTCTCAACTTCGTAAACATCTTTTTCTGGCAGCTGGATCCTAGAGAGCGTCTTGCTTTGGAGCAACATGCGGAATCTTGGCCTAGACTAGAATCTGTACCTAGACTAGAAGTTCCAGTGACCAAAGAGATGTAGTGTTACGTTGGCTGGAGACAAAGACTGTCGCTCCGTGAACGTTAGCCTCAGAGTTATGCAATGCCAAATCCCCTGGCACAATAAATGTGGAGCAGGTCAGTCATGGGTGCAAAAATTGCACAGAACAAATAAATCAAAAACCACAGTGTGAGCTCGCAGAAGGCCAGCATATTGCACTACGCAGTGGCAGCAACTGTGACCTGATACTAGGAACCCTAACGTGGAACTTCTCTAACACTCAACTATGGCCAAGGTACTTTCAAAAAGGTCAGAAACTGGTGGGGTTTTTGCCCACAGTTCAAGTAATTTTAGAGTCCTCTGTAATAAAAGGAGGTAAAATATTTCAAATGTAAATATAGTTTTCTAATCAATGCTCTGCTTTTACTACTTTGAAAAAGGAGATACTGAAAAAAACAAGAAAAAGGAAAACTGGGGATGGTTACCTACCCGGGTTAGTGTGAGCTGAGGTTCTGCATAGAAAGCTTTGCCCGTTACTGGTTTCCTGTACGTCTCATCCACGTCTGTCAGGGCCTAGAACAAGATAAAAGAAACATGAAGGTCAAAATGAAAAGAAAACATGAAGAAGCTTTGGACCATTTTTGTGTCAAAGCATTATGAGATTATGTTCTGTCTGAGAGAAAATTCATCCCAGGAACAAGCTGTTCTTTGGAGCTTGTTTCTTAATCATTGTCGTGGTTTAACTCCGG